TCCCGATACTCCGCCGCCGCCTCCCTTGTGCATGCATAGTATCGTTATCGGGACTATCGGAGGTATCGGAACGATCTACTAAAACTCCCTGGTGCCGAAGTATCGGGTATCGTTATCGGAGTCATGGGAACGATTTACTAAAGCTCTCTATTAACGAGACACGACTGTATTTAAATAGAGGCTTTGAAATATTGTGCAACTTTAGAATGACTTTTCCCCAACCCCTAATTTTGTTTTTCATTTGTACAAGAATATCTGTTTATCATTATAAATAATCTTATCACTATAAATAATTGCTGCGTACAGAAGATTTACAGCGTCCAAAAAGGTCGGATTTGGAGCTTTACACAGATAACAACAGGATTCCTAAGTAATTCGAAATAGTTCAGATGCAGGAGACGAACAAACTTTAGCAGATACTGCTCGTCATATTCAGTGGATTATTGTGTGTCGTGATAATCATCTTCAATGCATGCAGTGCAAAAAAAGGATTCTAGAGTGTTGCAAAAAAAAATTTTCTGCTGCGGTAGAATATCGACTGAAGACAATCAAAGTGGGAAACCTTTCAACCAGTCTCGTTGCTCTTTTATTGCTTTTTTTAATATTTTTTATAATAATCACTTTTTTTTTTTTTGTAAATACCTAATGTAGCAGATAGGCCCGTGCGCGACCGAAAGCGTCGCTGTGGTCGACTTTCCACGATTGGCCGAACACTGACTATGACGTCGGAAAGGGGATTTATCATCGACGGAAATAAGAGGAATGAAAGAACTTTAATTTTGACGGTGTTGGCAGTGCTCCTTTGAGAGCTCAATGATTTCAAGCTTCCACCATGCTAATAACAAACACCATCGAACTTGTTGTTTGCAAAATAATGACGTCACGAGGGTGAGCCTAAGGAGGGCGCCACCAAAACATCTCGCCGCTAATAATCATCGAAGGGATCATCAAGCCAGGTGCACGGGCTCGCGTGGCTGGCAGCTCGGGCGTTCGGCACCGTATGTCCTGGCGGCCGGACATGCTTAGTTTCGGCTCCTCGAAATAAATATATTTGCGACCTGAACTAGGTTACAACACCTGAGACCGATGATTAAAAGAAAACACTCGAACGTCATCTGACATTGTAATAGAGCTGTTTAGCAGAGGTAAAATGAGTTGCAATATTCTTTTGGGGTTAAACCAGAAAACTTACACAAGCTTGATCATGATGACGAAAACCCGGGAGTGCAGAATGCGTTCAGTGTAAACTACCATCTCGTAGAACGAAAGGAATTGATGCCACGTGTTTTGTGGTAACATAACGTGGTCCTACATCAAGTCAATTTCCCCACTAAATTTAGAGGGAAGTATAGTCGCAACGTGGCTTGAGGTCACAAGGGACATGGTCACGTGACTTTAATTTCCCCGCTATATTTAAGAAAAATTAAATGTCACGTGTCAATCATTTCCCCGCTAAATTTAGCGGGTAAGTTTACGTTATAATGAAAGAACTAAACTGTAAATGTAAAGAAATTAAAACGAACAACCTCATACACACCGTTGGAAATGTCTCGTCCTTTTTTTTTTTTATTATTTACTCCAAGTCCCGCTTGCCTGTAAGTTCTTTGTGACGGTTGTGCATTGCGTGTCAGTTCTTTGTGACGGTTGTGCATTGCAATTTCCTTGTAGAATTCAAGTAAAAAACATATCTTGTGTTAACAAAAATAAGAGATTCACATTAGATTGATAATGTATGAAAACTAGAGATAATTAAACACAAAAATTTTATTTGTTATCAATGCTTTTTTTTTGCATTAGGCAATTACAATTTTATCCTCTTATTTTTATTCGCATAGTATCGACATAAATTGCTTATAACAAAAAGCATTCACGAGCGATGTTTCCACTCTCTGTTTAGCGCCAGTGACGTTGTCTGTCAAAAATCTATAATGATGAATGAGTTTCGCTCAAATAAAAAGAAATGTTTTCCAAACAACTCCTCTTTGACCTATTTTTTTCCCCCAAGGACATTTTTTCGGGCGAAAACATGAATTTCAATTAAAAATAAGCCCGACTTATTTACCGACCCGTGGCAGCTTTCGAGTAACATTGCGCACAATCTACACATACGCGGCTCACTTCGGCTACGATGTCAAAAGTACGCTTGTCGTTCTTAGAAAAATTCGGAAGTTGATCTCATAAAGGGGCCGTTGTACTCCAGCTAGAGCTTCGTTTGTAGTAGAAAGGACTGCATCTATACGAGAGATAGAAACTTGTTTTCGACATAATCCTGCGAAGTTTGAAAGCTTGCTAAGCAAGATAATTAAACGCAACAGCGGATGTAGGTTTAGTTCAGCGACCCTGGATAGTTGCCACACGCTTAGAGCTCAAAGTTGTTTTCAAGATAATCACCGTTCTTTTGTTTGTTTGTTTTTTGTGCTTTTTTTGTCAGCTTGGTTTTGGCGTTTGAACGGATGCCTTTCATCGAAAAGCATGGGCGTACTCAAAAACGTTTTTTTAAAAATTAATTTTAGACAGCAGAAACTCTGCTAGTTCATTTTTGTTTTATACTAGAAACATAACCTGTGCAAAGCCTGGAGTTCTGCACCTGCAAACCTGTCCTAGCGTTTCGGAATGACTGCAAAACAAAAATTCAAATCCTTCGTCGCTTCTCCCGTTTCTCCCAGAGACAAATCGTAGAATAATAGTACATTACCAAGTAGAAACCTGATGTACTTTGTTGAAAACCACGGAAGCATCCAGTCTTTAGACAGATTTAACGCTCTCACAGCGTCCCGAAAAAAAAATCTAACTTTGCCGCTCCGCGTGGTTTCGATTCGCGTCCACAAAATCAAAGCTACGTCTGACACCCAGTAAAACTTCCCGCATTTTTCATTAAGCTGGAAGTGTTTATAATGTTCTATTTATGTTCTACTTTTTTTTTCGTTCCTTGGAAACTTTTTTTTTCAACACCGTACTATACCGCCAGCGTAAAAAACACTAAATGTTTGCAAGCAAGAAAATAAAAAACAAACGTTCACATCTAGGCAGTGGGTGAATTGTTTTGTTTCCTACATGTTGACGACAAATATTCTCTTTTGAGATGCTCGACTTTGTAAGCATACACGCTTTATAAAGCCACGATGAAATTAAAATATATTACGAAACGCGCCCTTCGCAAACCGATATAAATAATAATAGCGTGCACTATATTTCGATTACGACACGGTGGTATGCCGCTTGGATCATGCCTCGGGAAAACGTTTTGTGATCTCGGTAATTGTGTGTAATATATTTCGAGTAATACCGTTTAACTAAACACGTACGTGCGCGCGGATATGTATGTGTGTGTGGTTCGGTTCTAGGAATAAGCCAAAGGTATATTTCTGCGCCCTAGTTATTTTCTACAAACAAAAAATTGCCTCCCTCGTTTGTTCCTATCCTTCTAAATTAAAATCCAACCTACGGCGCCAACCATGCGGAGTGCAAGTTGCTCTGCTTTTTTTTGCAGGGGTTGTGGTGACGTCAGAACACCGAGCTGTGATTGGTTCTCAATGAAGGATAGTGGGTAGGTCTCAAAGCAAGCTGGTTGGGCGTCTACCCACTTTCCTTTCATTCAAAGCCAATTAGAGCCCGGCGTCAGTCTGACGTCACCACAACCACCCCCCCGCAAAAGAAGCAGACATACTTACATTACGTGATAGAACGGAACACTCATTTCTTCTCTTTTCTGTAATCGTTTTCCTTCTACTATACGTTTTATTCAACCGAAACCAAAATGAAATACCTGTTCGAAACGTTGCCCCGATAATAAGGAGTTTTAGGGAACCGTTTTTCCCAATGAGCCCTCCGGAACGCACTGTGCATGTACTACCGCTGAAAACTGGCACATGCGCAGTTCGCACTGGTTGGCCCTTAGTACCGTATCGGATGTGTAAGAACGGTTCTCTAAAAACCTCTGTTGTAGCTGTGCACCAACACAGCAAAGCAAATTGGGTTGTGGGGATATTTATACAGCGTGTAGTTGGCTAGCCATTTAAAGTTGCGACGAGTCTCCCAGCTGTAGATGAGCAATTTAGCCAATGCAGTACAACCGCTAGCCTGGGGTCTTAAACGTGCTCCACGCAGTAGTGATACACGACCGCACGCCGGTACGATTTTCATCCAGATCGAAACAGGCAGGGGTGGGGCTCGAGCCCAGGATCCCCTTACAAAAATTATCAATGAGCTTCAATTGACTTTCTATTGTGTTCCTATAGAGTCAATTGAAACTCGATATAAACTCAATGTCTAATGAGTTTGACCATTAGAAACTCAATTTTGATTCTATTGAATGTACTCATTAGGAATGCAATTGAGACTGATCATAAGAAACTCAATATTGATTCTATTGACATTACTCACTAGGAATGCAATTGAGTTTGATCATTAGAAACTCAATATCAATTCTATTGAATTTACTCATTAGGAATGCGATTGAGTTTGCTCATAAGAAATTCAATTTCAATTCTATTGAATTAACTCAATAGGAATGCAATCGAGACTGATCATAAGAAACTCCATATGAATTCTATTGAATTTACTCATTAGGAATGCAAGTGAGTTTGATCATAAGAAACTCGATTTCGATTCTATTGAATTTACTCAATAGGAATGCGATTGAGTTTGGTCGTTTGTGGATGACTGCACCGAACGGTTATTGCTTGTACCAATGGTTTTCTATTATTCTATTAAGGGATAGAGTCCAATGACGTCGAAACACTGTTTATCATTTAGGAGACTTCCAAGGAGGAAACAGCAAACTGGGAACCTTAATAAATGCTCGGGTGGTCACCGGCCAGATGAATACCTTTCTTATGTAGGGTATATAAGGCGGTGGAGTAGTCAAGGGGAGCACGAATAGTGGGTTGGAGAAAGAAGAAGACGCCGTTCCAAACGGACGCTTTTCAATGTTCTCCAAGAAAAACTCACCGGCCACAGGCCGGGGAACTGTTGAGGCTTCGGCCGGTACTAAGGGAACTATGACTGAAGAATACCGGACCATCCTGCCACATTTGCCAACAGGAGATATGGTGAAGAACAGCGTGGTGTTGCACTGCGCCACCGGCGGACGCCCATACCGGGCCGAAGATTTCGTACGACCGTTACAACAGGTTGGAGTATTGTCGGAGTTGGCGGGTCTCGGAGCCTATCAGATGGGTCACGTGTGGCTCCTCAAGTTGAAAAAACCAGGGGCCAAGGAGAAGCTGCTGCAAGCCGGTGAAATCCAGGTGAAGGGGCGTCGCTGCCTAGCGATTGACCCATATCGGAGAGAGGTCAGGGTGAAGCTGCATTGGGTGACCTTTGACGTGCCCGTCGACACTGTCCGCCGCGCTTTCGAACCGTACGGCGAGGTAAAGAGCGTCGTTCGTGAGATGTGGAAGGTGGACGTACTCGTGGGCGTCGAGTCTACAACTCTGTCCGTCGTCCTAACTCTCCGCCAGGACCTAACACTGGAGAGCCTGCCGCACCAGCTTCGATTCTACGGGGGCACGGTCCTGGTAGTGGTTCCGGGGCGTGCGCCCGTTTGCCTACGTTGCCGACGTAGGCAAACGGACTGCACCCGCAGGTATGCCCGGGCTGTGGCAGTGCACAACGATGGTGGCGGCGTCAACGAGGAACTGATGGACGAAGTCGAGGCCGAGGAAGCTGCAAGCGTGGCCGGGGGTGCGAAGAGTGAAGGTGCACACGGTAGCAACAGTCAAGCACCTACTGAGGCACCGAATACCACGGATGAGGAACGGCAAGGAAAGTCGGAGGCTGAGCAGACTTCTTCGACGACGCAGAGTAGCGAAGACAGGACTGTGCCTGGATCTGATGCAACGAAAACCTCCGAGGGCGAGAAACACGGCAACGACATGGACTTCAACCCGGCGATGATTAAGCGAAGACACGAAGGGGCAGATGCGGCTGTGGCTGGACCAGGTGAGCAGCCTCGGCAGAGCTCGCAACAAGAGGGGGACGACGTCAAGAACAAGAAAAGTCGCGGGGGGTCACCAAGGCGGTCATCGTCCTTTTCTCAAGGCAGCCCGCCGCCCCAGTAACTGTTTGTTATTGAGGCATGATATGCTCTTTGTGCACACACGCAAATGACCACACCAGTCCTTGAAAAGCCATTGCGTGTTGGCACGTTGAATGTTCGAGGTCTAAGTGATAGGCGTAAGCAGTATCAGCTGAATCGCCTGTTTATTGACCAAGAGCTAGACATAGTTGCAATACAAGAGACAAAGGTGAAGAGCGACGAGCGCACTCAGAGTATGTTACGACCCTTTACATCGCGCTACAACGTTTGTGTAAGTCATGCAGTAGGAACTTCCGGAGGTTGCTGTTTGTTCTTAAAAGATTCAATCGGTATAACTGTAGAGTCTGTCGTCCCATGTCTAACGGGTAAGCTTGTGATTTGTGATTTCACATACTATTCGACACTCTGGCGTGTTATTTGTCTGTACGCGCCGAAGTCTGCAGTGGACCGCAAAATCTTCTTTGAATTTGTCCGTGGTTACTGTATGTGCGAACGTAATGTTATTTTACTAGGAGATTTCAATTGTGTCTGTTCAGCAAAAGATAAGACCGGAGTGACCCCCTACAGAGATGCTGGCACGTTGGTATTGAACGACATCGTCAGCGAGGCAGGTCTTTATGACGTAGCGGAATGCATCGGTCACGTGGGAACTGTTCAGTACACTCATTTCCAAGGAATCAGCCATGCTCGGTTAGACAGAGTTTACATATCATAAGAACAAGTGCCAGTCTGCAACGAATATCAAGTAGTTCAGGTATCGTCCAGTGACCACTGCTTAGTTTCTTTTGTTTTGGAAAGCACGCATAGGCGACCAAAGTTTTCCTGGGAACTGTGGAAGTTGAACTGTCGACTCCTAGACGACGAAGGGTGTACAAAATTGGTACGAGGCCTCTTAAACAAGTTAGAAGAAGTTTCAAGCAACTACGCAGCAGAATGGGAGGGTTTTAAAGAAGAGTTTAAAATGATAGCCATAGAAAAAGCCTGTGCTGTAAAGGCACTTCAGAGACATGAGGAGGCGATCCTGCGCAGAAACTTTCAAACACTCATCAGAGAAGAAAGTAAGTTACCGGGCGAATTCAAAAACGATATACGTGAATTGAAGGAAAAAATGGAAGTCCTTGATCAAGAGCGTTATCACGGAGCTCTTATCAGAGCACGAGCAGAAAAGTTCGCTGTAGGGGAATTTCCGACAAAAAAGGCGTTGGTCATGGAAAAACGTTATGCACGAAAGAACACTATCAGCTAAATCGAAAAAGATGGAAAGATTATGAAGGACCAAACAGATATTGAACAAGGGTTTTTTGAATATTATTCAAACTTGTTCGCGCACAGCCCAGTGAAAGTGACAGAATTTATGGAGGAGTTCTTAGTGCTCTTGCCGAAGCTAAATGAGGAGACAAAGGAATTTCTTGAGATGCCGATCACCGTAACAGAAATAGTGAAAGCGATAGACGAATTGAGCCCTGGAAAAACACCTGGACCCGACGGAATTAGTGCAGCTTTCTATAAGACCTTTAGAGATGAAGTTGCGCCAGTGCTACACAATGTCTTTAACGAGGCCTATGAAGGAAAAAAACTACCACCCTCCTTTGTGAGGTCTCACACGGTGTTAATACCCAAGACCGAAGATATTGTAAAATTGCGTTCGGTTACATCCTATAGGCCAATCAGCTTAACAAACGTAGACTACAAAGTACTAATGAAGATTTTGGCACGACGGCTTCAAGGTGTAATAAGAGAAATAGTTGGTTCACACCAAACGTGTGGAATAAAAGGAAGATCGATAACAACAAACATTCACACCGCTCGAAGTGTACTAGAATGCTGTGACGCAACGAATGATAAAATTGCAATGCTCCAGATTGACTTGGAAAAAGCCTTCGATCGTGTGTCACATGAGGTTTTGATGGCGATAATGGAACATGTAAACGTAGGCTCCGTAATTATAGAGGGTGTTCGTATGGCGTACGAGGGGTGCACGACAAGCCTGGTTGTAAACAAGTCAGTTGGTAAACGTATTGGCGTCCTCCGGTCCGTGCGACAGGGTTGTCCTCTGTTCCCGCTTTTGTTTTGCATATACATAGAGTCTTTCTGCTTGAGCGTAGTTAAAAGCAGCGTCATTCGTGGCTTTAAGCTACATGCTTCCGAGGTGCGAGTACTGGCCTACGCAGACGACATCGCGTTGTTCTGTGCAAACAGAGAAAGCGTACGAGAGGTGATAGCATTAGTAAAACAGTTTTGCAATAGAAGTGGTAGTGCCGCAAACTGGGAAAAGTGCACAGGTTTTTGGCATGGAGAGTGGGACGTGAAGCCCAGTGTGTTTGAAAACGTCAAATGGGTCTCGTCTCCGGTAAAGTATTTAGGGGTCCCCCTGGAAAACTATCGGGACAGCGACCCTTTTTGGAGGACCCAGGTAGTCGAATTGCAAGGAAAAGCTGAGAAGTGGAGAGGAAGGGATCTGTCGGTATTTGCCCGATCCACTGTTTGCAATGTGTTCCTAATAAGTAAATTGTGGTATGTGCTTCAGGTTTTACATTGTTCCAGGGTGAATATCCAAAAAATGCATCGGGTGTTTGCGGTCTTCATTTGGGGCTCTTCCTATGAGCGCACGAGCCGGACTAGTCTTTTTCGCAGTGTGAGTGATGGGGGCCTGGCGCTATCTCATTTGTTTTTGAGGCAGCTGGTAAATCGTTTCCTTTTCTTACGTAAAGTCAAGGACCCGTTTTTGAGCACAGTTTGTCAAGTGCGATTGTGTAATGTTCTGCCTGAGTTCATAGTATCGTCAGAGTATGGAAGTGGTGGGTCTATTTTCGGTTATATGCGCGAAGTGGTGGGTGCGTACAAATTCCTAAGAGCACGCTTTTAGTTGGAATATCTGAGTGAAGTCACTATAGGAAAAAGCTGTACCAGGACCTTGTGGACGTTACCCTGCCGGTTCCACTGTATAGAGCTCTGTATTCTACAGGCTCGGGACAGGATGTCCTGAAACGCGTTAAGAAAATGTCCGTCCCAGCGTGCATCAAAACCTTCTTTTTCAAGTTGAACACCGGTACTCTGCCTGTTAAAACGTGGATGGTGGAGAGGGGTATGATTGTCGCGTGGGGTGACCACTGTTTTTTGTGTAAGAAACCTGATTCAGTTGGGCACGTCTTCTTGGACTGTTGGGACGCTATATTTTTCTGGGATGTGTTGCAGCGTACTCTAAAAAAGGACTTTCCTCTGGATTCCCATGGCATATGGTTCCTAGCAGTCGAAAACGAGAATTGTGTGCCTTTCGATCTTTCCATGTTGCTCGGCCTTCACAGCATATGGAGATGCCGCATGGCGGTTCGCCATGCAGATGTCGACACAAGGCCTGTGGGGGAATTCCGAGTCTGTCCGTTATATTGTCGAAGTTTGGAAGGTTCGATCAAATGTCCCGGAGTGGTTACCAACAATGGAAAAACTGTTAAATGTAATTTTTTTTTTAACCATGCCACGTCAGTCGGTAAGTGATTGACGGCATTTTTACAGCACTGTACTTCTTGGTTGCACTGTGTCAATGTCGGCAATAAAGAAGAAAAAAAAAAGAATAGTGAGTTGTGAGTGAATAGTTACGATGTTTGTTTTCGTTTCCTCCATGTGCTTTGTTTCCTTCATGTTGCGTGCTTTAAGGAATTATACAAAAAAGTTCACAACCAGTTGCAATTTTTTTTAAACGCAGTTGTAATACATTCTATTGAGACACGTTGCAAAAATTCAATTGAAACTCAATTGCAATATTTTTATTGAAACTCAATAGCAAAAGTTCTATTGAAACACTATTGCCAAAATTCAATTGAAATGCAATTGCTAAAAGTTCAATTAAGACTCGGTGGCCAATACCCTGGTACGATTCAATAGGGACTCATTAGAAAAAGTCCATTGAGTTTCAATTGAGATTGAATGCGGTCTATTGACTGAGTCCTTTACACTTTCAATTGAAACTCAGTTCATTTTTTTGTAAGGGCTGGGTTCTGCTGCGCGAGCTTTCGCTCCACGCGCGTCGAGCTGGGTGTGCGCTTTAGCCCATTCGGCCACCGATACCCCTGCACCAACACAGTGTTCACAAACAAAGCTCGCTTCGCCCACACCCTGTGTGGGCCAAATTTGGGAGGGGTGAAGCGTCTGCGCATGCCCCGTGCCGACAGCAGGGAACCAATCGAGCAGTGTCAAAAGTGCATCGTCACGGTTCTTGTCACCAATCGGTGCGTTTTGCTCTCCCTGGTCTAACCAATCAAGCGCAGTGAATGCCTCTGCGGCCCTTTTTTTTTTTTTCCTGCGTGATTGGTTGAGCCGGATGCGTGCAAAAAGCAAAAAAAAAAAAAAAAAAAAATGACGAGCGTCGTGACGAAGCACTTTTCGCAATGCTCGATTGGCTCCGCCGGATTATTCGCAACTCCAATGCGCCGCTCGCCCTCCCGCGGACGAACGGAGAACCAGAGGAGCGGGGACGGCAGAGGCGGCGGCGGCGGCGCGGAAACGGTGGCAGGGACTGTT